ATAGGCAAGTCCACTCAGCTCCACGTCCTCCTGTACCACATTACTCCATCTCTTCTCTAGCCCGTGCCGCGCCCGTTTAGCCCCCCCAATCCGGCCGAACAAAAGCTGTTTAGGCATGCGGTGGCTGGGCATGCGGGCTACATGACCCAGCCAACGCAGCCTTGCCTACCGGAGGAGCTCACCGATGGGACCTTGCCCAGATCTTTCAAGGATTTGTGAGCTCCTCACACAATCCAGTATGGTTAAACCCAGGATGGATCGTAGGCAGGCCAGCCTAAATGTTTCTAACCGACGAAGATGTTCCATTAGGGGGGTCCACGTTTCGCAAGCGTAGAGAAGGGAGGGAATGACCGTGGCCGAGAGGACCTGAAGCTTAGTGCGGAGTGACAGATCAGGTAGCTTCCACACAGCATTACGCAACCGATGAAAAGATATTGTCGCTCGACTGATTCGGAGTGAGACCTCTGCTGTTAAACTGGAGCCGGTCATAAGCACACTGCCCAGGTATGGGAAACTCTCCACTCTCTCCACAACTGCCCCATCACCGATTGGGAGTTGTGGGGGTGGAGTGTCCGATGGTACAAAATACCCAGGCAGGTGCTTAGTTTTTTGTGGGGCTGATGGTAAGGCCCCATCTCTTAGTGGCACGCTCCAGTCTCAGCAGCAGCATCTCCAACTCCTCCTCTGAATGAGCAGCTATTACCAAATCATCAGCATACATAACGTGGTTGAGCAATAGGGAGCCATCCCTTGACCGCACCCGGGCATCGATCAGCCTCCCATTATATCTGTACCAAATGGAGATTCCCCCGGTATAGCTATTGAAGGCTTCACGAACTACGTGGTCTAAATAGGTGTAGTTTTACCCGGGCCCCCTCACCATCATGAAGGTCCTTAATGATCGTGAGCAGAGGGTCAGGGACTCCAAAAGCACGAAGAACAACCCAGAGCCCAGGCCTATTGATGGTATCATAGGCCTTGACCAGGTCAATAAAGCAGAGATGTAGGTCTTGTTGGAATTCCCTACACCTTTGCTATAGCGGACGGACAGAAAATATGGCATCTGTGCAGGACTGCCCTTTCCTGAAACCGCATTGGGGCCCCGCAAGCCTATCCTCAGCGTGCCTGGCAAGGCGATGTTGAATAATCCTTGCCAGGACCTTTCCCGGCACACTGAGGAGTGAGATGCCCCTGTAGTTGTTACAGTCTGTGCGGTCCCCCTTCTTAAAGAGGGGGACCACCAGGGCATCCTTCCAATCCTGTGGAACCCGTCCAGTGGTCCAGATTGTTGTTATGATGTCATATAGGGCAGTCTGTGCACAAACGCCACCCTCCCTCAGCATTTCGCTTGGGAGATCATCTCTGCCAGGTGCCTTTCCTGGTCTCAGACTCCGGATCGCCTTCAGTACTTCCTCAACAGATGGCACCTCAGCCAGCCACTCACAGGGGGTGATTTCTTCCAATATTTGAGGCACCGCAGCCTCAGCAGGGTCCTCCCCACTTTGTGCCACGATGTTTTCCTGGCTGAGGGATTTCCCCTCCCCCAGGACCTCACAGAAATGCTCAGCAAACCTCTTCCTGGGGGGTCGGAGATTGGATAACCGTTTTTTCCTGTAATGATGGTAATAGGTGTGGTGCTGCAAGTTACTTTTTTGATGGAGTTAAATAGAGATTTGTGATCGCGGGCCACTGAGGCAGACTCCATCTCCTCAGCAACCCGCAACCACCACCCATCCTTGTAGCGCCTCACGGCTCACCGAACCTCCGAGTCAAGGCTGCGGTAAGCCTCCTCATTCTCTGACGTGGGATTCTGTAGCCGATGACAGTGGGCCTGTCGCTTTTTCTCAACCATCCTGAACACCTCCTCTGTCAGCCAGGGTATCTGGGGAGGTCTGGACCGCGTGCCCAAAGCAGCCATTGCAGCTGCATGAGTCACAGTCCTAAACCTCGCCCATTTACCCTCGACATCAGGAGGAGTCGGGGACGATGCCAATCCCAGCCGCAAGCGATGATAAAATTCTCGCTTGCAACTTTCATCAGATAACTGAGACCAGGCCACTTTAGGTTGGAATGGGGTCCTGGGTGTACACCCACCACCGGAGTGGAAGAATGGCAGGCGCATCTTACAGATGACTAGTCGATGGTCAGAGGGCAGATCAGCTCCACGGTAGCTCCTAGTGTCAAGGACATGGGCTCGCATCTGCTGGTCCGTCACTATGTAGTCCAGCAGATGTTCTTGCTTGGACCCGGCATGCATCCATGATGTTGTGTGGATGCGCCGATGCCGGAACAGCGTGTTGGTAATTACAAGCCCATGGGCTGCACAAAAATCTAGCAGCCTCCTACCGTTCTTATTGAGCTGATCTGGCCCATGCCCTCCAATCACTCCAGACCAGGTGCCAGCATCATGACCAACTCGGGCATTGAAGTCACCCAACATGATGACTCTATCCCGAGGGGCCACTTTAGCCAGCACCTGTGACAGGAGGTCATAGAAGGCATCTGACTCATCGGCTTTGCCTGCATCCCTCCACGGATGTTCATCTTCGATGGGAGCATAAGTAACCACGACCACCATTCCTCGCCTCCGGTTGATGGGAAGGCGAGCCCAAAGTAGCCTGGGGCTTACAGCTACCCACACCTCACCGTCACGCTCCCACGCCCCCTTCATTCTTTTGTTCAAAAGAAGAGCCACACCCTGTTGTTTGGCCGTCTGCTGCCCCGAGTAGAGGACTGTCCACCCCTCATGGTGGCAGGAGCCAGAACCGGTCCACCGGACCTCCTGAATGCCACATAGATCCAGGCGGTACCGGTCTAGCTCCCGACAGAGGAGTGGCAGCCTCTCCTCCGCAGTGAGCGTTCGAACATTCCACGTGGCCACCCGTAGTGGTTTTTCGTTGTTTCTGGAGGAGCCCCGAGAGTAGATATTCAATCTCCTGGCTCCGCCAATTGGGGTTTGGCCAGGAGACGTCATCGACGCCTGGCCCCCCGGGGCCTCCGGCACAAGCTTATTAGTTATATACTTAATTCGCGGTTTAGTAGTAATTAATTGAAGGTGGAGGGGTTACCAGCCCCTCGCACCCGTCCAGAGCCCCCGTTTAGCCCCTGTGGTGGACACAGACGCCATGAGGGGAGGAGCCAATCGAAATTGGACTTCCCCCCCACAGCACTGTCCACGACAGAGTTGCCCGTCCGGCACCGCGAGGAGGTAGGGGGTTGTTTTGCCGGACAGACACACACATAAACACACACATAGACACACACATAGACACACAACATAGACACACAGACAGACACACACATAGACACACATACAGACACACACACATAGACACAGAGAGAGACACACAAATATACACACAGAGACACACAACATAGACACACAGAGACACACACAGAGACACACAGAGTGAGACACACACATAGACACACAGAGAGAGAGACACAACACAGACACACAGAGAGACACACAACATAGACACACAGAGATAGATAACACAGAGACATACAGAGAGACACACAACAGAGACACACAGAGAGAGACACAACATAGACACACAGAGACACACACAGAGAGAGACACACAACATAGACACAGAGAGAGACACAGACAGACACACACACATAGACACACAGACAGACACACACACATAGACACACAGACACACACAACATAGACACAGACACACACATAGACACACAACATAGACACACAACATAGACACACAGACAGACACACACAGACACACTCCTTGTGATTATGGGACTTTGTAGGATGAACGTTGCGATTTATAATGGGCACGAGGTGACCATTAAGGTGTGTGAGTTGGTCTGTAGTAAGGTGGGACACTTATAAGGGATTCACAGGTTTGTGTATGGAGAGACATTTTTGATCTTAAAATTCAATACAATTAAATTTTAGTATTTTACAATTAAATTAAATTTGCTATGAACCCTCCTCGTATGACGGGCAACCGCACAGGTCTTAAAACAATGACGATTCGGTGGTTTGAGTGAATAATAAATAGTTTTACCATTCCTGACAATAGCCAAGGAGGCGTGTTAAGATGTTTAAACAGCAAATCGAAACCTTTTGTAAGGAATCATGTTCACATGAACACCACCACACCATGTTTGTGTGTGCATGTTCGCATGAACACCACACAGTGTTTGTGTGTGCATGTTCGCATGAACACCACACAGTGTTTGTGTGTGTGCATGTTCGCATGAACACCACCACACAGTGTTTGTGTGTGCATGTTCGCATGAACACCACCACCACACACAGTGTGCGCGTTCGCGTGAACACCACCACCACACACAGCGTTTGTGTGTTGTGCTTCATGCAGTGACTTCATTCCTTTGCAAAGAGGTTTCTGACGTGTTGTTGTTTGAACATCTTAACACGCCTTCTATTTTACTGCTCAGCAAGGGAACCAACCCTCTTCTTATTTTCGCGCATTGCTTTGACGCTGGGACCCAAGGGTAATGAGTGATACTTAACAAAAAATCGTTTAAAAAAACGCTTTAATGAAGTGTACCGCGCTAGTAATGGGAGAAATCCACGACTCCAGGAAGTGGACCCGAAGCTCGCCACAACGTAAGGGGCCATAGCCAATTACAGCCAACGTCAGACAAACAATAACGTATAAAAATAGAATGTTTTAAAATAGATATTTTTTTAATGATATAATATAGTTATTGTCACCAGTATGACGTAAGTCGCTACCACATTGGGAAATGGGTTAAAAATTATAGTTACAAGATTTGAGGATACAGTTAAATAAAAAGCGTGAAATAAAATAAAATAAAAAAATGGGCCTCGGTTTTGATGCAGCTGCGATCCCAATGCCCCCTTCACATTCACGTTCAGGGCCCCCCACATTCACGTTCAGGCCCCCCCTCCCCCTCGTGGCTCCCCGTGCTGCAGGTGCGACACCTTGGCCCGCACACAGCCGCTCCGACATTCACGTCCAGGCCCCTCCCCCCCGAGAGGGCGCGCCAACCACTCACAGCCCGCCGCGGCTGTGACGGCGGCTGTGACGTAGGGCGGTGACGTCACCGCGAGGTCGCCTCGCTCTCGACGGGGAGCCCCGCAGAGGCCCCACGCGGCTCCCTGTGGCTCCCTCTGGCTCCCTGTGACTCCTGTGGCTCCCTGCGGCTCCTACGGCTCCTGTGGCTCCTACGGCTCCCTGTGGCTCCTGTGGCTCCTGTGGCTCCTACGGCTCCTGTGGCTCCTGTGACTCCTACGGCTCCTGTGGCTCCCTGTGACTCCTGTGGCTCCCTGTGGCTCCTACGGCTCCTGTGGCTCCCTGTGACTCCTACGGCTCCTGTGACTCCTACGGCTCCGTGACTCCTGCGGCTCCCTACGGCTCCTGTGACTCCCTGTGACTCCTGTGGCTCCCTCTGGCTCCCTGTGACTCCTGTGACTCCTGTGGCTCCTGTGGCTCCTACGGCTCCCTGTGACTCCTGTGACTCCTGTGGCTCCTACGGCTCCTGTGACTCCTACGGCTCCTGTGACTCCTACGGCTCCTGTGGCTCCCTGTGGCTCCTACGGCTCCTGTGACTCCTACGGCTCCTGTGGCTCCCTCTGGCTCCTGTGGCAGCGACATCGGCGTGAAGGTGCTGCGAGCACGCGAACACCACTCGCTATAGAGCACTTACTAATAAACACAATAACTCGTGATACACTGTGGCAGATAGTGGTGGTGGTGGAGTGGTGGTGTTGTTGATGGAGTGGTGGTATTGTTGATGGAGTGGTGGTGGTGTTGATCGAGTGGTGGTGTTGTTGTTGTTGGAGTGGTGGTGTTGTTGTTGTTGGAGTGGTGGTGTTGTTGATGGAGTGGTGGTGGTGTTGTTGATGGAGTGGTGGTGGTGTTGATGGAGTGGTGGTGTTGTTGATGGAGTGGTGATGGTGTTGATGGAGTGGTGGTGTTGTTGTTGGAGTGGTGGTGTTGTTGTTGATGGAGTGGTGGTGGTGGTGGTGTTGTTGGAGTGGTGGTGGTGTTGATGGAGTGGTGGTGGTGTTGTTGATGGAGTGGTGGTGTTGTTGATGGAGTGGTGATGGTGTTGATGGAGTGGTGGTGTTGTTGTTGGAGTGGTGGTGTTGTTGGAGTGGTGGTGGTGGTGTTGTTGATGGAGTGGTGGTGGTGTTGTTGATGGAGTGGTGGTGGTGTTGTTGTTGATGGAGTGGTGTTGTTGTTGATGGAGTGGTGGTGTTGTTGTTGGAGTGGTGGTGTTGTTGTTGTTGGAGTGGTGGTGTTGTTGATGGAGTGGTGGTGGTGTTGTTGATGGAGTGGTGGTGGTGTTGTTGTTGATGGAGTGGTGTTGTTGTTGATGGAGTGGTGGTGTTGATGGAGTGGTGTTGTTGTTGTTGTACCGGCCGGCCCGTTACGTCCGCGTTGTTCGTGAGCGCGCGGTTTAGACGCCTCTAGTGAGTGACGTCCTTTATTTAACCACCACGTGACAGCCCCCCCCCCAATGAGATTCTCCCCCTCCCTAGTGAGTGACGTCCTTTATTTAACCACCACGTGACAGCCCCCCCAATGAGATTCTCCCCCTCCCTAGTGAGTGACGTCCTCTATTTAACCACCACGTGACAGCCCCCCCCAATGAGATTCTCCCCCTCCCTAGTGAGTGACGTCCTTTATTTAACCACCACGTGACAGCCCCCCCCCCCCCCCAATGAAATTCTCCCCCTCGTGAGTGACGTCCTTTATTTAACCACCACGTTACAGCCCCCCCCAATGAGATTCTCCCCCTCCCTAGTGAGTGACGTCCTTTATTTAACCACCACGTGACAGCCCCCCCCCAATGAGATTCTCCCCGTGTCTAGTGAGTGACGTCCTTTATTTAACCACCACGTGACAGCCCCCCAACCCAGCCTAGCCAGCCGGGCCTCTCCCCGACACGGGGCTGGCCGTGCTGCCTCGCAATGCGACTTTTTGTTTTCCGGAGAAACGCAGAAAACTCCCTCGTCTGGTATACAGGAGGTCGTGGGTTCCATCCCGACCCTGACGATGCCTGCTGCTGCTGTTGTAGATTTGAAGTCTGTGTGTCTCTCATCATCATCATCACGGTGGCTATGAGATGTTAACTACCTCACCTGATATGCAGGAGGTCGTGGGTTCCATCACGACCCTGACGATGCCTGCTGCTGCTGTTGTAGATTTAAAGTTTGCGTCTCTCGCTCTCATCATCATCACGGTGGCTAGGAGATGTTAACTACCTCGCCTGGTGTACAGGAGGTCGTGGGTTCCATCCCGACCCTGACGATGCCTGCTGCTGCTGTAGATTTGGAGTCTGCGTCTCTCTCTCATCATCATCACGGTGGCTATGAGATGTTAACTACCTCGCCTGGTATACAGGAGGTCGTGGGTTCCATCCCGACCCTGACGATGCCTGCTGCTGCTGTTGTAGATTTGGAGTCTGCGTCTCTCTCTCTCATCGTAGTGTGGATTTATCTCCGGGTGCTCCGGTTTTTCCCCTCCCACATTTAGAATCAACATCACGCGCTCAGCAAAGTTTGCTGCTGCTATAAATGTCCACGTGCTGATGATGATGATAAGCCACTTGATTGAGCTGCTATCATTGGCGATAGTCAGGTCGCTTCTAAATAAAGAGCTGAAAAGCAGCCCCGGTCGTGTGCCTTACGTGGAAAATAAACACAGAAAAGTGAGTACTGTACTTACCCCCCTTTATTTATTCAGCACATTAACTTCGCTACTCCTGACTCGAGCATGTGGCTCGTCATGCCAACCTGGGTGTCTGTGGGTCTCTGTGGGTCTGTGTGTCTGTGGGTCTCTGTGGGTCTGGGTGTCTGTGGGTCTCTGTGGGTCTGTGTGTCTTTGGGTCTCTGTGGGTCTGTGTGTCTGTGGGTCTCTGTGGGTCTGTGTGTCTGTGGGTCTCTGTGGGTCTGGGTGTCTGTGGGTCTCTGTGGGTCTGGGTGTCTGTGGGTCTCTGTGGGTCTGGGTGTCTGTGGGTCTCTGTGGGTCTGTGTGTCTGTGGGTCTCTGTGGGTCTGGGTGTCTGTGGGTCTCTATGGGTCTGGGTGTCTGTGGGTGTCTCTGTGGGTCTGGGTGTCTGTGGGTCTCTGTGGGTCTGTGGGTCTGTGTGTCTGTGGGTCTCTGTGGGTCTGGGTGTCTGTGGGTCTCTGTGGGTCTGTGTGTCTGTGGGTCTCTGTGCGTCTGGGTGTCTGTGGGTCTCTGTGGGTCTGGGTGTCTGTGGGTCTCTGTGGGTCTGTGTGTCTGTGGGTCTCTGTGGGTCTGGGTGTCTGTGGGTCTCTGTGGGTCTGGATGTCTGTGGGTCTCTGTGGGTCTGGGTGTCTGTGGGTCTCTGTGGGTCTGGGTGTCTGTGGGTCTCTGTGGGTCTGGGTATCTGTGGGTCTCTGTGGGTCTGGGTGTCTGTGGGTCTCTGTGGGTCTGGGTGTCTGTGGGTCTCTGTGGGTCTGTGTGTCTGTGGGTCTCTGTGGGTCTGGGTGTCTGTGGGTCTCTGTGGGTCTGTGTGTCTGTGGGTCTCTGTGGGTCTGGGTGTCTGTGGGTCTCTGTGGGTCTGTGTGTCTGTGGGTCTCTGTGCGTCTGGGTGTCTGTGGGTCTCTGTGGGTCTGGGTGTCTGTGGGTCTCTGTGGGTCTGGGTGTCTGTGGGTCTCTGTGGGTCTGTGTGTCTGTGAGTCTCTGTGCGTCTGGGTGTCTGTGGGTCTCTGTGGGTCTGTGTGTCTGTGGGTCTCTGTGGGTCTGGGTGTCTGTGGGTCTCTGTGGGTCTGGGTGTCTGTGGGTCTCTGTGGGTCTCTGTGGGTCTCTGTGGGTCTCTATGGCTCTGGCATCAGCGGGTGCCTGTGGGTCTCTATGGGTCTCTGTGGGTCTCTATGGGTCTCTGTGGGTCTCTGTAGGTCTCTATGGGTCTCTGTGGGTCTCTGTAGGTCTGTATGGCTCTGGGCGTCAGCGGGTCCGCGATTGGTGATGCAGACAATCTCAACGATCGCCTCCGGACGTTTTTTCTTCTTCCGGCACTGACAACCACAACTCCACAACTCCACAACTCCACAATGCGTTTCGTTTGCTGCCCCCCCCCCTTCTCCTCTCGCCCCCCCCCCCCCCCCAGCAGCCCGCCGGCGAGCGCGCGAGAGAGAACCGAGCGGGAAAAATAATCGGCGCGTCCCAACCACCGCGCCCGGCCGGCCCTCGCCGGCCCTCGCCGTGCGCGGGGAGGGCGGCCGCTCCGCTCGCCTCGGAGGCTGCCCCCTCCGTGCGCAGTGGCGGTCGGTCCGTCGGTCGGTCACGAGGAGGAGGTGGGGGGGGGGCGGCCCCCACCGATGGCCTCCGCTGCCCTCGTGCACGGCGGGAGGCTGCTGATCAAGCAGGAGCGTGAGGACGAGGAGGAGCCGCCACCGCCGCCGTGCGACGACGATGACGATGGCGGTAGCGGCGGCGCGTGGCCGGGCCTCGTCGTGAAGCGTGAAGGTGAGGAGGCGCTGACGCTGCCCTGTGGGCGGAGCCACGGCCGTGGTGGTCCGCGGCCGTGGTCGTCGTTGTTATCGTCGTTGTTGTCGTGGTTGTCGTTGTTGTTGTCGTTGTTGTTGTCGTGGTTGTTGTTGTCGTTGTTGTTGTTGTCGTGGTTATTGTCGTCGTTGTTGTTGTTGTCGTGATTGTTGTTGTCGTTGTTGTTGTTGTCGTGGTTGTTATTGTCGTGGTTGTTGTTGTCATTGTTGTTGTCGTTGTTGTTGTCGCGAGGAGCGGAGGCACCGTGGAGGTGACGACGATGCTGGTAGTGGTGGTGAAGGTGGCGATGATGGTGGTGGTGTTGGTGAAGGTGGCGATGATGGTGGTGAAGGTGGCGATGATGGTGGTGGTGTTGGTGAAGGTGGCGATGATGGTGGTGGTGGTGGTGTTGGTGAAGGTGGCGATGATGGTGGTGGTGGTGTTGGTGAAGGTGGCGATGATGGTGGTGGTGGTGAAGGTGGCGATGATGATTGTGGTGGTGATGAAGGTGGCGATGATGATGATGATGGTGGTGGTGATGAAGACGGCGATGATGGTGGCGGTGGTGATGGATTAGCTGGCGATGATGGTGGTGGTGATGATGATTTTGATAGTGGTGGTGATGATGGTGGCGATGATGGTGGCGATGATAGTGGCGATGGTGAAGGTGGCGATGATGATGATGATGGCAATGATGATGGTGGTGGTGGCGACGATGGCGGCGGCGATGATGATGATGGTGGTGATGGTGAAGGTGGCAATGATGATGGCAATGATGATGGTGGTGGTGGCGACGATGGCGGCGGCGATGATGATGATGATGGTGCTTTGGCGTCGATGAACGTGGTGACGGTGAAGGTGGCGATGATGTTGATGGCGATAACGGCGATGGAGGAGGCTGGGCTCGCGGCCACACGGAGAATCCGGAAGAGGGGCTAAGGAACTTTTCATCGATTGAAGTGAGTCTCCTCATTGCATCTCAGCCGGTGTCTCTGAGGCTTATCAGCCGGTGTTCCCTGATCTGTCCAACTTTCAACAGCTGTTGAACGACTCAAACAAACTTAACCATAGGCTCAGTAAACTTGCATTCAGATGAATTAGATCATGCTGCTTGCTGCTATGCATCACCACGTGACGGTGGATGGTAAGCCACGTGGCTGAGCTGCGATCATAAAGTGTTGGCCAGGGTCACTTCAGAATGAACGCCTTAAAAAATAGTAAAAAAAGAACGCTTTTATTTTTAAAGTGCACTAAAAGCTCTTTTCTCACAGATGTCCAGTTAGGTGGCACGGGGTCAGAACGTCACAACAACAAACGACGCAAACGCACGATAGGAGTTCAAAGTGTAGGCAAATAAAACTAAACATTTTTTTTCATGTTACCAGGTAAAGCCCACTTAGCTATTAGCATATTTTTTTCAGAAGCGACTCGCTCAACAAAGTAGCTCATCGTTGTCATCATCGTGTGGAAAGCCATAGCAGCGGCCAAATACCCTAAACAATAGAATCTCAACGCACGACGATCCTAAATGTGGAGGGAAAACTCTAGGACTCTGGAGAAAAACCCCCCACGTGATCACGGAGAGAGAGAGAGACGCAAACTTCAAAATACACAGCAGCAGGCGTCATCAGGGTCGAGATCGCACCCACGACCTCCTGCATACCAGGCAAGGTAGTCAACATCTCATAGCCACCGTGATGACGATGATGATGAGAGACACGCAGACTCCAAACCTACAGCAGCAGCAGGCGTCGTCAGGCTCGGGATGTGAACCCTGACGTTGCCACGCTCTCGCCTCGAACCCCGCCAGGCCGACGCGGCGGCCGCGCCCCCCCGAGACGCCGCCCCGCGCAAGCGCAGGAGGCCCCGGGAGAAGACGATCGAAGCGGCGGTGCGCCGGATGGCGGCGGGCGCCTACCCGGGTCGCCACGGCGGGGCGAGGCGCGAGACGCGGCCCTCCGTCGTGGCCGTGGGGCCCGACTGCCGCTGCAAGCGCGAGTGCTTCACCAAGGTGGACGAGGACTACCGACGGGAGGTCTGCTCCCACTTCTGGCGGGAGCTGGGCCGCGACGGCTACGACGCCCAGACGGCCTACCTCTTCGGCAGGATCCTCGTGCAAGACGTCAAGCGGCGGTACTCCAAGAGCGCCCGGGACAAGCGCTCGTGCAGCGTCGCCTACCACGTCGCCACGCCGGCGGGCGGCGGCGGCGGCGGCGGCGGCGGCGACGTGCAGGTGTGCAAGAAGGCGTTCGCGAGCATCTACGGGATATCGCGCGGCCGCATCGACGTGCTCGTGTCGAAGAAGAAGAAGATGGTGGCGAGGGGCGAGGCGGCGGCGGCGACGGCGGCGGCGGCCGCGGCGGCGGCGGCGGCGACGGCGGCGACGGCGGCGGCGACGTCGCTGCCGCGCGACCGCCGCGGCCTGCGCAAGGGCCGCCCGCGAGCCCTCGCCGAAATCCTTCGCTTCCGGGCCGCGGCGGAACCCGCGGCCAATTTCAAAAGTCAGCCGAGGGAGCAGCGGCCCTGACGGACGTGGGCCGGGAGGGGGGCGGGGGGGAGGTGCCGCGCTCCCCGCGGATCGTCGCGGCGCCGTCACCACGGCGAGCTGCGTCCGCCGCGGCCGTCCGGAACGTTCTCTCCCGTTCCGGGAGCTGCGATGCACTTTGACATCGTCGTCGTCATCGTCGTCTAGATTGACAAACTCGTTTCTTGAGAACTGCTTGTTTTGCGTTTGGTTTGTTGTCCACCTCCCCCCCCCGCGCACCTCCGATGAGCACGGTTGGCTACGCACAGTGCGAAAGAAGTTCAACGTACATACACAGAGACTCACAGACACCTATGAAGGCCGGCACGGCACACGAGGGGGTGAGTGGCCAACACCACGCCCGGCCGCCTTTGTCTCCCCAGTGGCGATGTTTACACATATCGCACCAGGTACTCATTTGAGGCTGAGTCGATCTACGGGAGGCCCAGGACCGGTTCAGATCATCGTCGCCGGTGTTGGCTGTGAGCTGGAATCGAACCCGGGTCGTCAGGTTCGTAGCGCAGCGCTAACCGCTACGCTACACTACCGCTCCCCACAACATACACAGAAACCCACAGACACCCAGAACCACAGAAACACCCATAGAGACACCCACAGAGACACCCACAGAGACCCACAGGTTAGCACGCTTGGCTCCGTACAGTGCCAAAGAAGTTCAACGTACACACACAGAGACCCATAGACACCCAGACCCATAGAGACCCACAGAGATGCACAGATTAGTGTGGTTGGCACACGTAAGGCGGTGCGAAAGAAGTTCAACAAACCGCCATTTGCCACGAAGTGACGTTGACGTCACCACGACGCTTGTGCCAGGCTGTGTGCACCTTGAGGCAACGTGAAGTGTCGAACGCCCGCTGGCAGGAGGTCACGAGGCAGACCCAGCAGGTGCCACAGGTCGACTGACTGAGATGACCGAGACGACTGGCTGATGCACCACCTGTGCCCCCTACTGTGCCAACCTGCTGTGCTTCAGCCGCCCGGCGCTCCGCTCGTTGTTGTGAGCGTCGCTCCTCCGCCCTCCGTTGTTGTTGGAGGGCGACTGCCTCCAACTGCCCAGTAGCATCCTTCACGAGCCTCCTCCACAGAGGCCGATCTTGACACCGCTGGTACCGGTCATCGGCAAGTCCACTCAGAAAGATACCCCAGACCCACAGAGACCCACAGAGACCCACAGAGACCCACAGGTTAGCGCGTTTGTGTCACACACGGCGGTGCCAAAGAAGTTCGGCGTGGAGTGCGTACGTAACCGGTCACTCGACCGACCATCGCTTCAATTGCCCGACCAACTGGGAGGAGCGCGATGACCGTTGGGCATGGGCTCGCCGCTGTTCTCTCGCGTGTGCCTCTGGACGGGAGGTGATGGGCGGGGCTTCGCGACCAGCATCGGCATCGTCAGCCGCGTCGTTGCTTGTCTGGTTGGGAGGGGTCGGGCAGTGCGTAGGGGCGGCTGCCATTTTTTTACAGGGGCCTGAGGAAGGGGCCGTCCACAAATGACGTCACGCACCTGGGCGGGGGGGGGGGGTCAGACATTTGTGACGATGTGTGACGAGGGGGGGGGGGTTTTTGAGAAATGTGACGTCACATCAAAATGCGCAACTTTAAATAAATATAGACGACACGTTCTACTTAATTAAATAGACTTTTTAATAAATGTGTTCTCCTACGACATCAGAGTGCAGCGCCACATTGAAATACGCACTATAATGACAATAGTTTAAAGCGATTTGAAGCATGTTTGATTTTTTTTGGGGGGGGGGGGAGGGGGGCACAGCTTTGTGACGTCATATTTGAGGGGGGTGTCTGACTTTTCGTGACGCTGTGTGACGAGGGGGGGGGGGGGGGGGGGTCAAAAATCGTCCGAAATCGCGTGACGTCATTTATGGACGGCCCCTAACGGGGATGGTTTATCAGCAACAAAAAGTCGTCCATTTGAAATATTTTCTTGTTCGAGGGTTAGAATCCGCGTGAAGTATGAACCCTGTCGCTTAAACCGGCCGCGGCCCCCTCAGCGTGGGTTTGTGCCACGCAAAGACGACGCGGCCAGCGTGAGGCCCTCTTTCTTTCGTCAGTATCAGAAGTGTGGAAAAATAAGAATAGGTTTTACCCCTTTCTGGGAATAATAAAACATTAGTTGTCTTAAGCACGTTTTTTTTTGTTTGCATGTTCACCACCAGTGCTGTTTGTGGTGAATGCAGTAACTTGATTCCTTGCAAAAGGTTTAAGTTTGGTGTTTGAACATCTGAACACCACCTGTTTTTACTCTTATTTTTTTTCAAAACGTGGCCAATTCGTTACTAGTTCAGCACTGACCGGTTGTGTGTTGGGAGATCAAAAACCCGCTGGAACATTTGCAACTCGAGTGGCGTGTGATGTATATATTCGGCCTTGAAAAATATAAAAAATAATAAGACCGGATATATACAACAGTGACCTTCCGCTGGCAATTATATCAGCCAGCGTCATCTGGGCGATTCTGCCACATTTACACGGACGCAATGCAACCCCCATCGCTGTAAACCCCTTATCAGTGCCCCACCTTATTACAGACCAATTCACACCTTATTGGTCACCCCGTGCCCCTTACAAACCTCAACGTTCATCCTACAAAGTCCCATCCCAAGGAGAGAAACACAAACACATAGACACAGTAATTGTGTTTGCCCCGTATTGAAACGGCTGTACGCCATATGGACCTGAAAACTCAATTTCGCCTGTACAAGAATACGGGTTAAACCGTATGGGTTGACACGGGCATGCAACCCCAAATGAATAATATGTGGCTCGCGAAAGACCCGACTGCTACGCGTCAAAGAGGGCGACCCGCTGCAACAACCAAAAAGCTTGTGGTAGTCGATCGACGCCCATCGACCGAGTTGACGAAACCAGCGGATGTTCAACCCGAGTGCTTGTGTCGATCGGTAGAATCAATCTTCTATATATATAAAAGTCAAAAATTGTTTGTGTGTGGGTTTGTGTGTTCGCGCGCTTACGAAGGATTTGGCTAACCCTAACTGTGGGGTTTACGTGAAATAAAGATAGCCAGGTACCACGCCGTGAGCCCCGCTGTGAGCAAGCGCTATTCCTTTTTCATTTCCGTCAAATTTTAATTAGTTTAATTAGCGATTTAGTGCGATTTTTGTGCGCTTTGCATTTATTTATTTATGAAGCGTGCACGGCCATACCAACTCACGCGCCATTGGTGGGGGGGACGGCCCATGCCAAGTCCCACGCCTTTGGTGGGAGTGAGGGGGACATGTTCTTTCACGTTAAAAATGCTATAAAAATACACTAAACGCTCAGGTAAATTCTTCACTGTGTGATGTCCCCCCCACCCCGATGCGTGCAGTTACTACTATACAGTCGTATAGATGCTACCACTATAGGCCGTAGATATTACTGCAGAGTGGCCGGGGAGATCGTGGCTGGGCGGTCAGGGGTAGCAGCCCAGCTCCAGCCTGCCAAGGTGCCACCTCGGCCGGCTGGACAATCTAGGTGAGGCCGGAGGCTCTCCACGGGACTAGGCCTCACCACGCCACTCTGTCAGTTGAGTACTTTGTGCTATACAGTCGATAAATACTGCTATAGTGTCAGCATGTACTACTGTAGTGATAGCAGGTACCACCAGTCGGTATGCACTGCTGTTATCATAGCAGGTACCACCACAGTCGGTATGCACTGCTGTAATCATAGCAGGTACCACCACAGTCGGTATGTACTGCTGTAATCATAGCAGATACCACCACAGTATGCACTGCTGTAATCATAGCAGATACCACCACAGTAAGTATGCACTGCTGTAATCATAGATACCACCACAGTCAGTATGCACTGCTGTAATCATAGCAGGTACCACCACAGTAAGTACGCACTGCTATTACATTTTTAACAGTGGTTTTTAAATATTTCTTTGGCCCGGGCAACGCTGGGTATACCAGCTCGTTTTTAATATTTCACCGTTGGGGGAACGTCACCCTTGGACCCCACCCTAGCCACCGTGATGATGATGAGAGAGACGCAGACTCCAAATATACAGCAGCAGCAGGCATCGTCAGGGTCGGGATAGAATCCACGACCTCCTGCATACCAGACGAGGTAGTTAACATCTACCTAGCCACCGTGATGATGATGAGAGAGAGACGCAGACTCCAAATATACAGCAGCAGCAGGCATCGTCAGGGTCGGGATGGAACCCATGACCTCCTGCAATGCACGGTTGGCTACGTACGGCGCCAAAGAAGTTCAAGAGCACGCACCGTGCGTGTGCGCGTGGCCACGTGCTCCTGCACCTAGCCTGGCACAGGACGGGATACAGCTGGTGGTGGTGCATCTCCCGGTCATCTCAGCCAACCCGTGGCACTTGCTGGGTCTGTCACGTGACCTGCCAGCGAGCCTTCGACACTTCACGTGGCAGCCTCAAAGTGCACCTAGCCTGGCACAGGCGCCGTGGTGGCGTCGCACTGAGTGGCGAATGGCGGTGGTTGTTGTTGTGAGCTTTGCTTTCCCAAAACATCCGCCCCCTTCATTTCCACAACAACAACAAATGCGTTCCACGACATCATTCCCACGACTTTCTTTTATTTTTAGTTTATTTTATTGTAACATTAAATGATTATATCACATCGTCACCGTGACATTACACGGGATGTGTTTGTTAGTTGTGCTGCTGTCGTTGATAACACTGCAAACGCAATCACTTCTCGGAGCGCAACGCCGCACACGAGAGGAGCGTGCGAGAGTGGGGAGGGCACAACGAGGAGGAGGAGGAGACAGACGACGCCACTGAGTTAACCCCCCCCCCCCTTCGAAAGCGAAGCGTGAGTTTGGTGGAGGGTTTGTAACTTAATCCTCTTTCAAAGGGAGATCTGTGTACGGAATTGTATATACACACACCACACAACAAAGATACGGGGGATCTTTGTTGTATACCTGTGTGTGTGTACCTATTTAACTCCATCAAAAAAGTAACCTGCAGCGCCACACCTATTACCATCATTAGGGGAAAAAACGGTGATCCAATCTCCGACCCCCAGGAACAGGTTCGCAGATTTGCTGAGCATTTCTGTGAGGTCCTGGGGGAGGGAAAATCCCACAACCAGGAAAACATCGTGGCACAAGGTGAGGATGACCTTGCTGAGGCTGCGGTGCCTCAAATATTGGAAGAAGTCACCCCCTGTGAGTGGCTGGCTGAGGTGCCATCTGCTGAGGAAGTATTGAAGGCGATCCGGAGTCT